GTGGATAATTTTTTCATGTTTTGCTTTATATATGCCAGTTCCCAGTTTATTTATTTTAATGAACGAAATGACTGCAACAGTAATGAAAAGAATACAGAGACACTTTCTACACTTCTGGACGAGTTAAAAAAGATACAACTACGGCGGGGATATAGGGAGATTAAGGATTTGCTGACAAACCTTACATCAACAAGTATGTATATTACAAACATTTTATTTGAACACACTTAAGTGTTGGCATATACCGGGTATTGTCTTCAATGACATTATGTGCATAATTTTACTGGTCCCTCGTCATTCATGAATATACTTTGTAACCCAAGGAAAACACATACATGGACATCATGCAGCCGACGATACAAATTCTATAACTCACTCACTTTGCATATAGTTAGATCTTGATCTTGAGAACGAACAAAAATGATAAAATGAATGCCTTTTTCCCTATAATAATGGAATGAGTACATTCAGTATTTGAAGTTTTGATGTAAATTAAAAACACTTTTTTTACGAAATCAATAGAATAAACGATGTTTCAACTATACATTAATTTGGCTTTTTGACATCATTGACAGCTGATCTTTTTCTTCAATGCAAATGAAGATCCTAATTGTATCTACCTTGTCTTTATGCACTAATTAGGTTTAATTTATTTTTTATTTTAAAAGTTTTGATTGTACACACAAGTACCCTGAACTTTATTATACCCCCTTTTCTCTTGCGTTTGGGGTTTATATCTCTTCAATGATGTAACGAAAGTATGTTATATGACTGAACATTTTTTACAAAATTTTCATTGATCGACATATTGGTGAAGCCATTACTTTGCAGGTTCTATGATAGATTCAATAACATTATTAGCAAACACATTTTATCAATAATTAAAATGCTGCATGACTGAAATTTTTTCATTCTTGTTTTTTGCACCATTATTTACACACTAATTTTTGACTCATATTGCCGTCATATCTCGCTCATGACAAGGGAGTGACCGGTCGACAAGAGATGCTCACTCCTACATGGCACCTGATCCCACCTCTGATGTTTTAGAGATCCGTGTTTGCTCTGCTCCTGATTTATATTTTTTAAAAAGACTTTTGAGCTTGAATGCTGCTCGCTTTCTCCATGAATATCATTGGTCATTAAGACAATTTATGACGCCGATTTCTAATTACCTTGACCATATGTTACACCAAAATGAATTTCCCTTTGTCTGTTAAACCTATATCTATAAAATGAGAAAAGACACAAAATGTTCAAATTATTTTATGTAAGGAATTTATTTGCAAATGTAAATAAATATATCATCTCTAAACATACAAACATGTATGTATATTCGTAATTATTAAGGTTTCTTTTTATTTTAAAGCTTTAAAAAAGTGAGAAATATTATTTATAACATATCGCTGGTTTATTTATATGATGATAGGAATTTGACGATGTAATAATATCCTCAGTGTCTCTCAGTCTTTACGTATAGAATCCAAACTAAATTCAGATTGTAAGGACCTATATGTAAGCGGACAAGCACAATCTGGTATTTATGAAATATATCCCTTTGGTAACAAAAGCCAGGTGAGCGTTAATTGTGATATGGTGATAAGGCGGAGGGTGGATGGTAAGATCTATCTCTCTCTCTCTGTTCTTCCCCCTTCTCTCTCTCACTGTCTCCCTCTTTTTAGCTCAACAATTTAAGCCTCTATTTTTTTTATGTTTTACTAATTTAACATTTTAAAATTGATAATAAATCTTTTTAAAAAATCCAACAAAAATTGGCACTGTATGAACATTGAATGATTCTAGCCTGATTTACATGAATATAATATTATTTTTAGAGTTTATGTTTTTAGAAAGAAGGATAACATTTTCATCAAATAAAATTAAACCATATTTTTAATTTAAATAGCTGTTGGGATAAATATGATGTAATAAGAGTTTTGTATAAAAACCTTTGATTTAAAAAAGCATAGGTAAACATTGCATATATTAGAACTTAAAAAAACAGGCACATTTTGAATGATTATTTTATTGAATAACGTATTTGAAACATAGTTCCATTCTAACGTAACTCACACGCATTTTCACGACTCTCATTAATAGATCTATATAATTCATAAATCTCTAGGCAATCCAGAAGCGGGTGAGCGGATCCGTGAGATTCATCAGAACATGGGCGGAGTACAAGACAGGGTTTGGGAATCCTAAAGATTCCTACTGGATTGGTAATTAATAAATATAAAAATAATATATATAGCTATGAAGGAAAAAGCAAAATTATGGCTCTCCAAAGGGGATGGAAACTATTTCCATAGATATAAATAGTTTCTTCTCTCCGGGATCCATGATTTGCTATTACTATTGTGTCCATTACATAACTGTATAATATCTTTTGTTACTTTAAGGGGTGGTGTTTTTTTCTGATTATGAACAGTGTTAATTTGTATTTTGATTTAAATAAATTTTATATCAATTCATGTTATTTGTAACGATTTCCTTACTTTGAATTTGAAAACATGTACTACATTATTGCTTAAGTGGAATTTTTGCGTAAATTTATAATTTAATGTTGCAATATATGAAAACAATTCTAAAATAAACAAGTTGGCTTTTTAAATTCATAATATATAACACGATGATAACATATTAAAGGGAATGACGTAATTCATCAACTTACCAAGGGAAGGAACTCCTCCCTCTACGTTTCCATCACACTGACTAATGGGACAAAACTCTATGAATTATACAACCAGTTCTCTGTTGCTGATGAAACCAACAACTACAGGCTCTTCCTTGGAGGACCAGCTACCGGGACACTGGGTCGGTAAAAGGAAAAAGAAAGTGTAAATGTCGATCAATAAGTATTGAGAGAGAGATAGAGAGAGATAGTGAGAGAGAGAGAGAGAGAGAGAGGGAGAGGGTGTTCTGTCCGTTTCTAGTGACAAGTGATAAACAGCCAGAAACCCTTTTATTTTGTTAGCGTAATACTTATTGTTCTATTGATTTCGCGCTGAACGGGGGGGGGGGGGTTACTTCTGTCCGTTTCTAGTTACAGGTAATAAACAACCAAATGCCCTTTTATGAGGACCAGTTCTATTGTTAGGTGAGTATTGAGAGAAATGCATATGTAAATAAGTGTCCGTGTAATATTTTATCATTAACTGTAGGTGACTGTATGCTAGACACCGGGGATTCTGACGGAGATCTGTCCGGGATGGCGTTCACCACCCCTAGACAGAGACCACGACAGATGGAGTAGAAACTGTGCTGTTTATTGGGGAGGGGGAGGAGGCTGGTGGTATAACCGCTGTCACTACGCCAACCTCAACGGCCCCTGGTACCCGGCAGAGTGGTCCAGTCCATGGTGGCCTACCGTGACGGATGGTGGGGAGATAAAGGAGACACTCATGATGATAAAACCTCACTGACTGTGTTATATCTTATAGTAAGAGATGGTAGAGAGATAAAGGAGACACTGATGATGATAAAACCTCACTGACTGTGTTATATCTTATAGTAAGAGATGGTAGAGAGATAAAGGAGACTCTCATGATGATAAAGCCTCACTGACTGTGTTATATCTTGTAGTAAGAGATGGTAGAGAGATAGGAGACTCTCGTGATGATAAAACCTCACTGACTGTGTTATATCTTATAGTAAGAGATGGTAGAGAGATAAAGGAGACTCTCATGATGATAAAACCTCACTGACTGTGTTATATCTTATAGTAAGAGATGGTAGAGAGATAGGAGACTCTCGTGATGATAAAACCTCACTGACTGTGTTATATCTTATAGTAAGAGATGGTAGAGAGATAAAGGAGACATTCATGATGATAAAGCCTCACTGACTGTGTTATATCTTGTAGTAAGAGATGGTAGAGAGATAGGAGACTCTCGTGATGATAAAACCTCACTGACTGTGTTATATCTTATAGTAAGAGATGGTAGAGAGATAAAGGAGACTCTCATGATGATAAAGCCACACTGACTGTGTTATATCTTATAGTAAGAGATGGTAGAGAGATAAAGGAGACACTCATGATTATAAAGCCTCACTGACTGTGTTATATCTTATAGTAAGAGATGGTAGAGAGATAAAGGAGACATTCATGATGATAAAACCACACTGACTGTGTTATATCTTATAGTAAGAGATGGTAGAGATAGGAGACTCTCGTGATGATAAAACCACACTGACTGTGTTATATCTTATAGTAAGAGATGGTAGAGAGATAAAGGAGACTCCGATGATGATAAAACCACACTGACTGTGTTATATCTTGTAGTAAGAGATGGTAGAGAGATAAAAAACCCCACTGACTGTGTTATATCTTATAGTAAGAGATGGTAGAGATAGGAGACTCTCGTGATGATAAAACCACACTGACTGTGTTATATCTTATAGTAAGAGATGGTAGAGATAGGAGACTCTCGTGATGATAAAACCACACTGACTGTGTTATATCTTATAGTAAGAGATGGTAGAGAGATAAAGGAGACTCCGATGATGATAAAACCACACTGACTGTGTTATATCTTGTAGTAAGAGATGGTAGAGAGATAAAAAACCCCACTGACTGTGTTATATCTTATAGTAAGAGATGGTAGAGATAAAGGAGACACACATGATGATAAAGCCCCACTGACTGTGTTATATCTTATAGTAAGAGATGGTAGAGAGATAAAGGAGACACTCATGATGATAAAGCCTCACTGACTGTGTTATATCTTATAGTAAGAGATGGTAGAGATATAAAGGAGACACTCATGATGATAAAGCCTCACTGACTGTGTTATATCTTATAGTAAGAGATGGTAGAGAGATAAAGGAGACACTCATGATGATAAAGCCTCACTGACTGTGTTATATCTTATAGTAAGAGATGGTAGAGAGATAAAGGAGACACTCATGATGATCAAACCTCACTGACTGTGTTATATCTTATAGTAAGAGATGGTAGAGATAAAGGAGACACTCATGATGATAAAACCTCACTGACTGTGTTATATCTTATAGTAAGAGATGGTAGAGAGATAAAGGAGACACTCATGATGATAAAGCCACACTGACTGTGTTATATCTTATAGTAAGAGATGGTAGAGAGATAAAGGAGACACTCATGATGATAAAACCTCACTGACTGTGTTATATCTTATAGTAAGAGATGGTAGAGATAAAGGAGACACTCATGATGATAAAGCCACACTGACTGTGTTATAGCTTACATATTGAAAAATAGTATTATGTGTTTTAATTTTATTGAACAGTCCTATTACGTTCTGAAAATAGTGTTATAATGAAAATAGTGTTATAATGAAAACAGTGTTATAATGAAAATAGTGTTATAATGAAAATAGTGTTATAATGAAAATAATGTTATAATGAAAATGGTGCTTTAATGAAAATAGTGTTATAACCAGAAATCCTAAATCAAAGTAACCCAATAAACTCTCTACTTAATAAAATTTTTGTTTTGTATTATTATTAGTTGCCATTTTATTATTAATTATATATTTTTAAGCATATAAATAATGAAGAAAATATTTCTATACACTTCATATATTTTTACTGATCCCCGTGAAAGGTCAGATGACTGAGGAGAAATAGTAAATAACTCTACCAGTCTACACGTGTGTAACTCTATCATTCTACACGTGTGTAAGTCTATCAGTCTACACGTGTGTAACTCTATCAGTGTACATGTTTGTAACTTTATCAGTCAATCATCTTTATACACGTAACAAAAGTAGTTTAAATACGTAGATTTTTTTTTTTCAAATACAAATATTTGTCGTTTCTTGCACGTGTACATCAATGTAAGTATAAAGTGTGTGGAAATGCTGGTTTTGAATGCCGAATCAATGAATTGTAGAACAAATGATTGTATAATTTTTTAGGTCACGAAGGCTGTGAAAGAACAACTTCATAATCGTAAAAACAAACGTTGCGATCATTTGGAGCACTTTAAAGTTTTTAAGATAGCTTCAAAAACTTTAACGTTATATTGATATAATTATATGTTAGTCTTTTAGACAATAATGCTACCGATCATGCAATGCAAAAAATTACAATTTACAACGCAAGATTTCCTGCGCCCATTTGGGGTATATTTCTCTGTTTTTCTGCATTGGAAATTAACTGCATTTCTTTCCCTAATTTGCTCAATGCTTTATCAACAACCTGTCAATTGTATCCTACTTCCTTCCCTAATTTGCTCAATACTTTAGCACCAACATGTACATTGTATCCTCCTTCCTTCCTTTTATCATCGTCTCTGTAGACTAATATTTTTTTTCACTTTTCTTACATCTTACAAAAAAATTAAAAACAGGTTTTTATTTTATTTTTTTATGTTCATTCAGACAAAAGGTTTGTCTCCCAGTGCATGTCGGATTAGACATGTTTTAATTTCATTTCACTGTACTTTCTGCCTTCCCTCTTTTAAATTAATGTCAATGTATAGAATAGGGTTATAGGGTTATGGGGTTTTAGCATTACTAAAGAGTGGAATACCATTTCTTATTCGTAAAAAAACAAATGCAATAGCATGAAAATCAATCGATTGATTACTACAAAAAATGAAATAATAATTCTCACTCATAGGAATTTTTTACAATAGGAATATGAATGGTTTATAGTAGACTAGTGACTCGTATCTAAGAAGGTAGTATTGTTCATGAACAGTAGCACTTTTACAAGATGAAACGGGAAATTATAGACATAAAATACGCCTTTAACGTACTCAAGCAACTACTGGTTTAAAAAAAAAAATAAGACACGGAATAGTCGTTATCTTGCTTAAATTGGAAGTAAAAATTTTTTATGGAGGGTTTGTGCCGAATTTGATTAAAGGAGGTTAAAGACAAGACTGTAGGAAGCTATTTGTGTTCGGAGGTGGGGTACAAAAACTCGCTTTAAAAGAAAGGGGGAATAACCTAGCTTACCAAGCAAGCTTTTTGGAAGCAAAAAGAGCCTGATTATTAATTCTAAATGTACGCATCCTTTAAATGACTTGGTATTTTTGCATACTATTCTAATATATCGGCAAAATAAGGATTTTTATTCTTTGTATTTACTGTGTCAAAACTTCTCTTATCAAAATTAAACATACATTTTCTTTAAAGAAAAATAAGTCCTGCAAAACGCTTAAAACTTTGTTCCTTTTCAATCTAATGCTTTAACTATTGATGAATATATAAGGAGCTTTAAATTTTAATGTGAATTTTAAAACAAAGATACTTTAAATCAATACTTAAGACATACGCTGACCTGCGTTAGACCATTATCTTTAACTAAATTGTTTATATAGTTTTATGGAGTTTAGTTTACCAAAACATAGATATGACATGTATGATCGTTCTACGGGGAATGTGCACACCTCAACTTTTGATGTTTTATTAGGATCGTCCTTGCTCTACTTAAAATTTTCCTTTTTTCTAAGAGTTTGAGCTTGATTTCTTTTCTTTAAATTAAAAACAAACGGGGGTAACAAATAGAATTTAAGCCAAAATTTCACTAAAACGGGACAAATCTGGAGCAGAGCAAACACAGATCTTCATCAATATCAGAGTTGGGATCAGGAGCCAAGGAGGATAAAATATACCCTGCCGACTGGTCATACCCACCGAATGCTCATCGTCATGATCGGGAAAACGGTAAAATCGGTAGAAAATTCAATATTTGTATATAATGACAATTAGTATAAAAACGCAACCAGTGTTTGACATTTTTACATGAAAGGGCCATCGTATCGACAATAATTTCAAACGAGACTGTTTATATCCTTCATTAACTAGCTTCTTTATAGCTTGTCTAGTTTTATAATGTGTTCGTGTGTTGAGCATGTTCTGACGAATCAACTATAACACAGAGCTATATACCATGCTGGTGGAGAGGGTATATTCGGACAAAAATAAGGAAGTGGACAATAGGGAATGGTTATATAAAGTCGTAAATTATGATGTTATTGATTTTGTACAAATATTCAATGTTATTTGAGTATTTTTTAAAGTAAGTATCCACATCTCATTTAATCCAGGCACTTATCAAACAGTATTTCCGATTTTTTTTTACAGATGTATTTATATTTAAATGAGGAGCAAAATAAAAGGAGAGTATTTACTTGAACCCGCAATATTAGTAACGATTATATGGAACTTTGTATGTTGTTGTACTTAGTTAAAATAAAAATGATTGTTAGGAGAATGGTTTCAAGAATTCATTCATTTGAAAGGTTGAAGTTGGGTCTGTTTAAAAATGGATTTTTGGGGAAAACACACTATGTAGTGTAATCATAACGTCTAGTAAAATTTTCCACGGAAAATCCCCTAAACATAAATGTACTAAAGTTTTCTATAGTTTCTAATAATCAAAGATTTGAATACAATTTAAATTGCATTATTGGTAAATAATTTAAGAAATATCACAGCTCCAAATTTTCATATATTCGAGAAAAGGTATAACCAGATGTGGATACTCTAAATTCCAAGGAACTTTCTAAACACTTACAATCAAAATTTAACCGAATTCAAATACGTACAACTTTTCAACTTATGATAAACTATTCACCATGATACATTAAAGTCCTGGCTTTCTGACATCATTGAAAAATGCTCTTTAATTAAATATGGTACATGGAACCTTTTAATTTACTTTCGTTGTCTATGGTCATTTGCAAAATTACTTTGTAAAAAAATCTCATTGTGCACACAAAGTTTATATTAAAAAGATGCTCGACTTACTGATTTACATTAT